AGACCTGTTGTTAAAAAGAAGAAGGAAATGTTGAGGAATCAACAGAACAATTAAATAAAAAGAGTAAAGTTGATAAGGCAATGACGAGCAATACAAATCTGATACATACTGAGAACATAATGTACATACCTTTTATGGAATTATCCGATAAACTTGACATACTTAAGAAGATAGCTGGAATGGAGATAACTATTAATCTAGGACAATTGTTCAAGTGGTCACCAAAAACACATATTGAGATCATGAGGGCATTGTTATGACTAAGGAAAGATTATAAGTCAATGATATAAATGCGAAAATTAGGATCATACGAGGCATAATACAATCGACCAAAGCTAGTTTGAGAGAAATAGTACCCTGTAGACGACTAAAGTAAATGGTGACATTGTAAAAGCCCCAATTGATCCAGGATCTCGAATTAATTTAATGTTGAGGAAATATACTAAAAAAAGAGGCCTAACCTGGAATCACGTGGGAGGAAAAGGAAGAATAGCTGACAACAGAGTTAGCCAATTCATAGGATATATACCGAATATTGAAGTAGAAATGAAAGGTGTTGCTATAAACCAAGGGTTCTATATCATGGAAACCACCAGCTTTGACGTTTTACTTGGAATGCCTTGGATCGCAAGAAGTTAATATAACCTTGGATAGAAAGGCAATGAATATTGTGTACCATTTCATCTTCAACTAGATCTGCATCTTTCATAGTATCTACTGTATCAAAGAGTTGGATTGCTGATGCACAAAACTATAAAAGAAATAATAAAAGTGATGAAGAAAGTGACTACGATGAAATCGAGGATGTAATGGCTGTAAGGAGAATCAAGATAGATAGATTCGAAATCAATAACAATGTGCATGACGCTTTGTCTTATGCAAAAAATAGGAATAACGTGATAGTAAGAGAAATCGAACCAATTGACTGTAAAAATTTGGAGGGACTATCCTTTTACGGGAAGGTAAATTATTGGGATACTAATAATAAAAGTAATGATGAATCAATCGAAGAGAATGAAGTATTATTAGTATCACGATTGACAAAAGAAAATAGCACTCTAATTAACCTGGGTCCAAAGGTTCAAGAAGAATCGACAAAAAATATGATAATCAATTGATTGATAGATAAAGTACCTGAAGTTTTTGCCTTTGAATTAAAGAACATAGGAAAAACCGATCTAGTCAAATACGAGGTTAGAACCAGTGATACCGTGATGCTATCTATGAGATTGCAGCCTATAAGAATTAATAATCCAGAAACCAGGAAGATATTTGAGAAATATTTAAAAGAAATAATAAAATGTGGATTACTGGAAAAGGGGTCTGGTGAATTCACTTATCACTGTTTTCCAGTGCAAAAAAAGGAGGGAGGAACTGATAAGTTGTAAACTGTTGGCAACATGAAACCTCTCAACAAGTACATAATAAAAGATAGCTATCCGTTGCCAATTATATGTGACATCCTCGAACAAGCCGCTGGCCATGATTGGTATACTTCTGTTGACGCGTTTAAAGGATACTGGCAAATTGGTATCCGTGAAAAAGATTGTGATAAAGTAGCAGTAGCTACATCACTGGGCGAATTAAGGTATACTGTAATGTGCATAGGATTAAAGAACGCAAGTGAAATCTTTCAAAGATTAATAGATAGATTGTTGGATGATGAGAAATAGAAACATATTGCAGCAGCCTATCAAGACGACATAGGAATATGGATCAATAGAAGTATGGAAAATCACTTGAACACTTTTATAGAATTAGCTGAAGTTTTTAAAAGCTCAGGTCTGACTTTCATGGCAAAAAAGTGCTTCATTTTGTATAATGAATTAAATATGTACGGCTACATTGTAAGTAAGAAGGGAATAATAGTGGACCTGAAAAGATTGAGAGGTGGAAGAAACCGAACAATATAGATGAAGTTAGATCGTTTCATGAAACAGTAAATTATTATAGGAGGTTTATAGACAACTTTAGTAAACTGGCTA